GACATGATCTCCTTTCGAAAAGACATAATTTGCCAAAAGTTCTTTTACCTGAAGAGCCCGTGATGATACCAAATGGACTATGCTCTTTTTATAGAGGTCAGTTAAATGTTCTGGGAGAGGACGTCCTTTCTTTATGGTCGTATTTTTTGCCTTAACTTTGACTGGCTCTATATCCTGGCACACACTCAACAATGCCCCTTCCTTAAGTGTCTGCACACATTTAGAGAAATTGGCCACTGTTATAAATACTACTTGATGACCTGCCACAAGTGACCTTCCAATCTACACATCCGCTGGCCTGGATGGGTCTTCCACTGCTTCCACACGCATTGGGCTTCCTTGGGGATGTTCTTTTATCCTACCCCAAATTATCTTCTCTGACATAGGGGTATTGTAGCTGACTTAAGTGCTGTGACATGCAAATCAACAGATGCAGCAACACTTACTGGAATTTAGCTCTCTTGTGCCCAGGTTTATTACAGTGCCAGCAAAGTCCCTCAAACTTCTCTGAAAGCTGACCTTTTCTGGCCTTGAATCCTGATGACTGTTCCAACCTTGGTACCTCTGTGCTGGACTTAACGTAGGATTCGAATTCAAGAGCTCTGGCCATTGCATCCTGCATAGTAGAGGGGTGTGCTTGCTTCACTTGTATCTTCAGTTATCGACTGTCCAAGGCATCTACAAACTGATCTCTCAGCAACAGCTTGAGGACATCGGGTGGTGTAGTTGGGTAGGCCTTGTGTGCCATACTTTCCAAGTCCTGTGCCAGCTCTTGCAGGCTCTCCCCTTTAGCACGAACTTTAGTCCTAAACCTGGCCCTGTAGACTTTGGACTGATTTTGAGTTCCATACCTGAGTTCTAGAGCAGCTACCAGTGCTCTATAGTTGTGCATGTCGTCTGCTGACAACTGTCCAAGTATTTCCAGTGGTTGTCCCTTCAAGTTCATTGCCAGATATACTGCTTTCTGCTCCTCTGTCTATCCACTCATCTCTGCCAGGAGCTCAAATTGTGCTCTATATGCTTCCCACTGTGCTTTCCCATCGAATTCCTGTGGCTTCCTTCGTACTAGATCACCCCTATTGCTGACATTCATATCTGGGATGTGATTTCCAACAGGACTGAAGATGTCTGCATTAGGGTCTAGCTGCGGGGTCTGGAAGGGGCTTCCTATTGCCTGAGGCTGATTAGGTCGATGGCTAATATATCCTCCTTGTGTAAAATACAGTAAATCACCCTTTAATTTATTTAATTCACTTTGAAATTTGCTAATGTTTTCCATTTGTACTTCTTGCCACTGTTGTTGACTTTCCTGTAGTTGCTGCTGACTTTCCTGGAACTGTTGGAGACTTCGGAATTGATCAATTATTAGTGATAGTGAAATCACTGATTGTAGGGTTACTGACTGAAAAAAAATGCCAATACTTGCTTTTCAAGTTATCAAGTGATACTTCATGGTACAATATATGCATTACATTGTGTGATTGCACTTGATTACATTGTGAGTTAGGATGTTCATTTGGCTGGTAAATCAACAACAGAAAAGAAGTAGCATTCCGTGCTTTTCGAGCTATTGGGTGTCATTGTCCAACAGAATTTATGAGCTACATTGTATGACTACCACTCAATTATCATAATTAGGATAGCTGGAGTGAGTACATGGTATACATAGTACATCATCAGTTTGCACAACTAAAGATAGTAGTCAGAGGTTCAAAAGCTCAGCTGAAAGAGTATTGCAATTTATTGATCAGAATTCCAAGCAACTGAGCAGAATTTTATTGAGTGATATCTACTGGATATTGAATGATAGCTGTTTGATCTTCATAAGTTAGGCAAGTTTATTGATTATGCAATTGATAGGACTGAAAAGGTTTAACAACCCTTTTTTTTCCAAACTATTTAACAGAGTTTCACAAATAAGAGATATCCCTAGGATATCGGATGATAGCTGATTGATTATCATAAGTTAGGATGTTCATATAGTTGAAAAACAATAAAAGCAAGAACAATGTGATCCTTGCTTCCCAAGCTACTGACTGATTTTCTAAGATGGAACGTTGTCTGACGTTTTGAGAGAATCACTCGCTTGATCTAGCTGAGTGCAAAAGACTTATGGGACATACCACATTACCCTCACTAGCTAATCTTCAATATACTTAATTGTTCATAAAACTTCTCCGCATGTAGTGATGGAGTTGTGTTTACTGTGAGTGTATATTTATATATATATTGTAGTAAGAGCACGAATAATAATTATAGCTTATAAGAATTATAGCTGAAAAGTTTTACTTTAGCTGAATTCTATCAGTGATGATTTATTTTGTGATGCCTGAAAAGAAAAATATGTTGCGTTTGATGGCTCATAGATGGCAGCATACTACAGTCACAGTTATTGAGAGATACTTTTTTGAGGGTAACCTGGGACTACTACTGAAGTAATTTGTGTGTGAGCTGGAGACAGTCTGTTATAAGATAATGATGTACGTGACAATATATAACATATATCTATAGCAGTATATGTATATAACTAAACATATATGCGTGGTCTTACAAACATGTATGAACACTACATGAAGTCATTCATGGGTGCTGTATAACATGAATGGATCAATTACACAATGCACACAAACTTTTAAGGAACATATGTGAAAGGAAATAAATACTTTAATGTAAATGTTAATACTTTATGATATGAAGTTAACTGTGAATACTGACCTGGAAGATATTGGTAGATACAATGCACCTGTTATTTTCATTAATATTAGAGAGAGAATGTTTCAGTTTTGACATTGAAATATTTGGGAGATAATGAATTTTCTTAGAAGAGAAAAGTATAATGGAGAACTTCACACTAGGTCTGAGAGAAAGCAAAGCATTATCTGGTATTTTTTAGCAAGAATAATGTAAGATATTTCAATTGGATCGAAACAAACTATTCATGAGAGGTTGAAATCATTAATCAATAGATGAAATTCACCGAAAGTAGCTTGGGTATCATATTTAGTATAAGCTTGATGTACCCAGTTTTTTACTTGGTAATGATAGAATATTTTCACTTATGCAGGTCAAAATATCTTATAAGCATATAGTTTACTGAATATTTTCTTAACATTGTTTCAGTGTAAGGTACATTAATAATGCACGAAAATGCAGGCTGAGAGTGTACTTTTAGAGATAGAAAGTAACAATCACATCAAGAAACTCTCTAATTGCAACTTGATAGTGCTAAATTTGTATCTGCAAGAAGTCCCCTGAGAGAGAGATTATGTAAGTTCAGCAGATTCTCATGTTCAGAATGTATGTGTTAATAATCATTAACCTGGATCAGCCCACGTGCATAGGAACCAGTTTCTGTACTCTTGATCCAAATGTAACAACCAGACAGTAGGATAAGGAATGGAATTTGGTTAGAGGGTAAACTGTGGTAGCTGTTGCTATGGGAATGATAGCAGTGGTCAGCATAGCTATATGTACTGGTCCAGCAGGGACCCATTGAAGTCTGGTAGACTGAGCTATTGACAAGTGTTAGGGATACATATTCTACAGGAGTATAAGGCATGAAAACATGAGAAACCTGTAGAAAAGTCACTTGACCAAGGTCATTGATTTATTATTCTGTTTCTGAAATATAATTTTAGAACAGATCGTGTTTCTAACTGAATAGTTACAATATTTTACAACTTACGCACCTAACTGAACTTCTGATCAATTGAAATTCATTTGACCTCATATTTTCAATCCTGACGTTTCCTATTTAAAATAAAAAATGTAACCCTTCTTGCTTTCTTGTTTTACAGATAAACAACAGTGCTTTAATTCCACCATTGTGTGATTATCCTCAATTTAGTGCATAATTTAAGGAGTACAATATCAAGACTAATACACCCAGAACTGCATGATTAGTGACATGGAAGACCTAGACCTAATGACCATTCCTAAGACGCTCATAGCTAGCCTAACACTTGGATTGATGAAGTCCATAGATGAAGCTGGATTGCTGTGCTCTTAAGTCTTCTGGGATTGAGCAGTTTCCTTTGACCACTCTAAACCTTCTGTGGAAAGGTCACCAAAATTGGACCCAACCAAAGTGGACTACATACCACTGGTGCCCACTACTCCAGTTGAACTCAGCCTTAAGTGACTCAACCTCAAGTCATCAATCCACAGGTGAAACTGGTACAAGTGAAGAAGAAGATGACTGAGCTACCAACAAAAACAATGGTTCCAGCTGGTAAGGTGCCCATTTGAAAGATTCACTCACCTCCTACTGGATCACTACATTCAAAATCCCCAAAAAACATCTTTCCATAGCTAAGTTCTTTCAAAGAATTAACTGAGAAGTGGACTGGTTTTTTTGAGCTGGTACCAAAAGCTCAATGGTTGGCAACCATCATAATGCTGGTAGTGAGGGTCTTGGCAGTGAACTAGGGTGTTTTGACATCCATGTTATCCAAACCAGGACCATTAAACTAGCCCTGTGTTTTTCTTCAGGTACAGATGAGGTTAAAATTTCCCGCTGCCCCACTGACGACCATCATCATCCAACCAACACCAGGCCACATTCCAGTCCTCAGAGGTTTTGTAAGGAACAAGTTGCCGAAAGGACAGAACCTGTGGCTCTCTAAAATTGAGAGAAGGACCATCTGTAGAGACATCTGGAGCCCACATTTTTGTTAAGAGAGAAGGTGTGATAGCTACTATCATAGTTGGTATAGGTCCATAAAAACTTGGTAAGAACCAAAGCGATCATATGACAAACAACTGCTGCTAACAGAAGATCTAAGGTAGTGCTATCGGGTATAAAGTGAGGTGAAAGCTGCTACCTTGGATTATCCTGAGCATAGATTGTAACAGAATGTAAACAGAGTAAATGCTATTCATAGTTGAGTAAACATTATTATTTTTATGTGGGTTGGTCATTCAGTTTTATTTATTCATGCTTTTGTGATTTCACTTGATTTTTTTTTTGTTAGAGGTGTTCTTCACTTGTGTGAACGTGTACATTGTACTTATGAGATATTTTCAGTTTGATTTAATTTTTTGGGCCTGTTTGATTAGTGTCGCATTTTTGTAGTTAAAGGATTTTATTTTGCTTCTGCAGTAATGGTTTAAAAGGGGATTTAACAGACATGTATTGTTCCAAAAAAAGTTTTTGTTAATTTCTATTTGCTGATTTTCTGTAATGCATAACAATTAAAATCCAGTGTCATTTTTAAAGGATGTCTGTGAACTTACAACGCTAAAAACCTGGTTTTGATATCCGTGGCGGGCAGAGCACAGATAGCCCATTGTGTCGCTTTGTGCTTAAGTCAAACAAACAAATTTATTGTTGCAGGGTTTATTTTGAATTTCTTTATTTGCAATTTTGTACTGTGATTAATCTTTGTTTAAGAGTGTTCTTTTCTTATGTATAATGTGACTTTAAGAAACATTGTTAAAGGGTTTTCATCATGTATTTATTTCTTTACTATTAAAATTAAACTATTGAATGGATCTATGTATGGCATTATATTTTAACAGTGTAGAATTTGATTTCTAAGTTTTTTTCAAACAGTTTAATATGTATAATGTTCATTCATCTCTGTTAAAGAATATTATAATAGTAAAATAATCAATTATATGAAATAATCCTTGTAAAAGATTCAAATATCACCATATAACAAGTGTCTATGTTTTATTCTTAAAATGCTTCATTTGTCACCAATCTGCATTGAAGGATATTTTAAGTAACTACTGAATTTCTTTGTTAAAGGTTTGTGGTGTAAATGTTTTACAGAAGTGACAGAAAGTTGTGTCAATCTTTGAACAACATACATTTATCAATTTTATTGGCTTTAAAGTTAAGATTAATGTCGTCTTGGGAGCAAGACTGAAGTAAAGGGAGAAGGAAAAGTGTGGTACATAATCATACCATGCATTTTCTCCTTCTTTGTAGTTATATATGAATATTTCTTTTTTATTTATTTATGAGGGTATGTATAGTTTCCACGTAACACGATGATCAAGAAGGTCAGTGAGTTACTTTTGCTCTAGCTAGCTATTATCCTGTGTCATTCACCTAGAGTAACATCTTTTGGCTCCTTGTGGTAAACATAGCTGCAAGATCAGCTGTGCTATGTGAAGTAAGACAGTTGTTTTTTCCAATGGCAGTTTGAGGTTATGACCTCCTTTTTGTTTCTTTGGGAATGTTTGTTTGTTTGTAATTAAGCACAAAGCTACATAATGAACTATCTGTGCTCTATCCACCACGAGTATCGAAACCCGAATTCTAGCATTGTAAGTTCGCAGACATACCGCTGTGCCACTGGGGGGGCTCTTTGGGAATGATCAGTTTCATGGGTAGAGCAATTCACTCTGGGTAAGTTTGATGTTAATGAGACAAGTAAGTGGCATGAGATGTATTCAGTCGTAAACAGAGTTAGTCTTGTATAATCTCATCTGAGTTGGTCGATCTACAACATCACAGAACAATTTCAAACCTAACTCTCCAGTAAAGAAGACTGTCGATTGTGGCAGGTAAAGTACGTTTTACTGTTTTATTAAATAAATATTGTTTATTGTGATTGTATATTTAAGTTTATTCTTTCTTTATTTCTCGTGAACTCATTAGTCAGCTAATACAGAATAATTTTAGAATGGCCTTTTGTGAAGGCAGTATGATAAAGAATGATATTGTTACGACAGCGGAAGTCACGTGACTCTGGTAACACGTGATGAGATTCTAGAAGGATGGAGAACCTCACGAACTCCCAGCGTTTGCTAGACGCCCTCTATTTTAGTATATAAGCTGGTAGATAAATTGATAAGAGGATAATCAAGTCAAGCCGTAAGTAAAATGTGTAAATTGTTGTGAATTATAGCGTGTGTTTAAGTTAAAGTGACCATGGAAATTCTGTGTATTGCAAAGTTGTATTGAGGAAGAATAAACTAGTTTTATTTAAGAAAGGACTTATATCACTGAAGTTCCTCGGGAAGAATTTTTACGGGAAATTAACAAACGACCAGAGACTTAACAATATGATACTTGCCCTTCCATATTGTATTGATATACTAAAAACACCAAAAGGAACTTTCACTAAAGAGTGGGCCTAAGTTTTTATCAGGTGTTTGTTCAGTTGTAGATTAATGTGAACTATATTTATAATAAGTTTCATTTGTCTTTTTGTTTGGTTTAAGTCAACATTTCGAATTTCGCATTAGTTAATTCATCATGTCAAAAAGTGTGTAAATTAAAAAATTACAGTCGCATGTTGTCTAAACTTACGCACAAACTTAAATAATAATTTTACAATCTGAGATATTTACAATGACTTTTTCCTATTCATTTTTGCTACAGATTTAGTGATATAGTAAACCCCTATTCATCCTTTCTTGTTTTGTTTTTTTGTTTGTTTCCTAAGTTTTGGACACTCATGATTTTTTTGTAGCACAAAGCTACACAATGGGCTATTTGTTCTCTGCCCACCACGGGTATTGAAACCCAGTTTCTAGCGTTGTAAGTCCGCAGATATATCGCTGTGCTTCTGGGGGCGGGGCTGGATTACCATGTGAAAACACATTACACAGATATCCTATGAACCACTAATCTCTTTATAGATCAGTGCTATAAACACACTGCTCTGTACGATTTCTTTGATGTGAGACGGGTTAAAGTCTCGAATGAAGTTACGAGATTTTACGTTATCGAGAGAGGGTACCTAACGTTGACGGAAAACGGCAACGGTGAGTTGCTTGTGTTATTCTACGAGGAGAGGTCTTGGTTAGTTGCTAAATTTTGAACGCTGTATGTCTGAGAAAAACTAAAGCAATTGTTTGAATTTTGTATTGATTCACGTCGAAAATAACTTTTATTGATATCTATTGGCGTGCGTTCTCATTTAATAATGATGCATTTTCTAGAATTTTTTGTTAAACCTGAGTCTCGGTGGTTTCAGAATCGTATTGTGAACGCCAAATGACAAGGCTAACTCGGTTGCTTCAGTCTCAAGTTTGTTTCTAACGTTACTACCATGTCCTACGTTTTAGTGAAGTGCTGGTGACATTGTTTTTACCTCAAGTCATAGCTCATTGTTAGACTGTCATCTTTTGTTTACTGCGTATTTTTATTGATTGATGGGAATCATTATAAGGATGCACTGGATTTTTTAATTGTTTAATTAATTATTTTTTTAAATTATAATTACAACTGACAGTAAGACTTGTAAGTTGTAATTATTATATTATCATTAGCCGAAGATAAATACTTGGGAATTATATAAATTTCATGTCACCACAGTAATATGACACCTTGATTCGAGATTGCACATTGTTGATGAAGTGTTTGAAGAAAGTCAGTATGTTTTCTAGCAAAAGGGATAGATTTTTGAGTTTCAATTTGATTTTAATTGTGTGGTGGTTTATAACAAGTTATCCGATTCTATGCAAAAGTGAATTGAATGAAGACAATATAACATTGCCTTTGAAAATATTTGGCAAATATAGAACTCAACTACATGGTAACCCGTACACCGTGGGAAAAGAAAAATCAAGTACTTTAGACAAACAAAATGTGTATGATATTGATAATGAACTAGCAAGACAATCAGAAGTTGGAGCATTTGGTGGAATTTACTTAAAGAGTGAAGCCAAAGTAATTGGATCACATTTGCGAAAAGTTAGTAATGAAGAACTGGGAGTTACTACTATGCAGGTAAACATTTATGAAACTTTTGTCTCCAGTTTGATCTGTTAACTTTTTGTGTTTCTAAAAATTACAAAGAATTTCTTGTGCATTCTTTTATTATGTCCATAGTAAATTGCTTTTAATAGTGGTATAACTTTGTTTGAGTCTGTTTTAAGGATTGCGTAGATAGTTTTGGATATTATTTCATCTTTTTCTTAAATATCATGTTAAAAAAAGAATTGATAAAGTCAAATCGGACAAAATTTGTGATGAATTCATTGGTACTTTAAAACGAAAAAAAGATCACGTGTATGACAGTTGTTTAAACCCAAGTTTAATCAAAGTCAGAATATAGCTGTGATACTTTTTTTACTTACTTTAACATGTAGAGTATGATGTGTAGCTTGTTTTTACTAGGTTTTGAAGCTTCTCTGATTTGTGAAGGAATAGTTTAATGCTTGTTGTGTCAAAAGAGGTAACAAACTTCACAGGTTAGCTTCTAGGTTGATACAAGAAAAAGTTTATGCCATGCTAGTTTGTAGCATGTTGGTAGTAGGAAATAGGGTAGCCTAAATGGTTTCTTGTTGTTCCTTGAAAATGAAACTTTGATTCTTAACAGTAACAATATTATTATCTTGTATAAGATTTGGGAAAGGATGCACATAAAATACTAGAAATTTCTAGATGCATTACAGTGTCCTTAATATTCAAATCTGTTCTTTCAATGCATTTCTTATTGATGTACACTACATTTTGTATCAGTTTTAAGTTCGTAAAGAACATCATTCCTGAATGAGTGTTCTTTTCATTGAGAAATAATACACCAGTACATCTATTACATGGACCACTTTACTTTGCTGGCCAATCTTTGTTATCAGCATGTTTCTCAACAAACTGTTTTCATTTCTTGATAAATATTTCTGCACTTCCTATTGTGTAGGAAGTAGTTTTGTTCTTATCACAATCTTGAGTCTTCTCTTTTTATTTCTCTATTCTTTGAGGCATTTAAACAATCAGCTGATACAGAAATCATCTTTAACGTTAGAAGCCAACTTGTACTAGAACCTTACCTGGATTAGGATTCTGATAAGCCATGAGCGATCTCTTAAAAGCTAAAATGATTAGAGTGCTAGATAGTAAAACTATACATTAACATGTCATCAAAGTTTGAAGTAATTTCCTACATACTGTTGTTTTAATTTCATGAAACATCTGTAGATAAAATAATGTTAGAAGGTTACAAGTTTTTCCTGTGTATTACATACATAAAATGGCTATTGGGTATGTCAGTAGAAATCTGATTCTGTACATACAGGTTTATAGATTGAAAGTCTGGCCTAGTGCCAGTTTTCTGCATAATGGGAAAACCCATAGAAACATGAACTGAGAATCTAGATAAAGTAAGGTTGTTTAAAGCTGGATGAGGTTAATGTTGAATCTATGCTTTTGAATTCTTTCAATGTTTAAAGCACTTTCCAAACAGTTTCCATGTGAATACAGAATAATGTCTTTTTTTTTATGTTCTAACGTAGTACATATCAGGACCAGCCCAATTTATTGTATAAAGAAGGTTATGCAAGATATTTCTGTGAACTTTCAGTAAAGTTTCCAAAAATACTTAGTGCCACCAATCTTTCAACTTAAAACCCTCAATGATTATACTTTATAAGTAAAGTACCATTAATAATATTCTTATACTATAGATAAAAACTGATTTGTGTATTTTTTTTACTTCTAAGAATAAAAGATGAAAATAATTATTATAATGTTTATGAATTTGAATATCTTGATATTGATTTGATAATTAAAGGTAATAATGTACTAAAAAAGATCTGTTGACTTTACATTTTTTGACCTACATGATGCATTGGCATATTTTGATGATTGTGTATAGACAGAATACATGAAAAAACACATACTAAATGTTTGAATAAACTTAAGCGAACAGCACAAACTACCAAACTGGTAAATCATTCTATAAGTTTATTATTATAACAGAGAAATAGTTTGTTTATGAACAAGTCTTTATCTTATTTTTTCCAAAAGCTTTTCACCCATTAAGTCCCTACTTCCACCCTTATCATTTCATGCTTAAATAGCAGTTTAGTCAAATCTTAAACAGGCCATTTTAATTCTACAGATTACAAAAATCTAGTCTTAAGTCCTTAAACTTTTTAAATCTAAGGCTCATATTTCTTAAACTAGTTACCTCTCAAGACTTATTAGTCATCTCCATTTATTTTCATCTTGTAAGAATAAGAGGGCTAGAATTTCTGATAGTGTTTTAAACATAGTCTTATCAGAACTTAATATATGTAAAAGAAGAAGACAATAACTTTCATGTTCTTAAATTGAATATGACTGTAAATAGATCCGTTACCATGGCCTTATTCTGTATTACTGCATTAAAATATGTGGTGAAACTTCAATAATCACATTTCAAATCATCTTTTTCTCCAAAATATCTGGTCATCTTACAGAATAGATATCTTTCTAACTTTTTGTACCCCTTGTATATCAGTTAACTTTTCCAGTATTTAAGTACATTTTTCCAGGTTATTCTACACTCACTTGGATTATTCATGCCTTAAATTAAAGAAATATTCTCAACATATTAGCCATAGTGTTATCAGTAAATTATTTACTAAATAATAATTTTTAAGACTTGTTTGCCTGAATAAGCTTTTACTGGAAGTTTCATTAACTTGCTTACAACAGAAAGTAAAAAAAATTGGCCTTTCATTTCTTGGCTCCTCCATCAATTCAATCTCTTAAATAAAGGGATGGTATTACATAGAACTATTCTTTAAGCTTTTGTTATTTCTTTAGTATGAGTACAAAGTCTTCCCAAAGTAGCATTTTCTTTAGCAGTAATATGATTCAAAGAATTCTCTTAGTCACCTACTTAAAAGAAAAGGAGGAAAGATTAGATTCATGTCTTATCCCTCAATGATAAACACCTTACTGTTCCCTATTTCTACCATTGTATATTTGTGAAAGTTTTATATTTATCGAGTAATATTATTTAATTTCCCTGTTTATTTATTTTGGAGTGGTTTTAAATCGAGAATGGAGTATCTTAGAATGAATTTGATTCTAGTATGAATGTTCTAAGCTTCATGACATTTACTGGTTTAGACAGTCTCCCAATCTTTTTTTCTCTCTCTCTCTCTTACAGTGTAAGAAAGTTGTATTTCTTAAATACTTGGTAATTATGTATATTAGGTCCAACATGATAATTATTAATAAAAGTACCTGAGAGGAAATATAGATGAAAATAACCATACCATATCTGCTATATCCAGTGCCATTGAGGCCTTTCACCCAATATCAGGCCTCTTCAGGCTGGCTAGGATATGACATACGTAGTAGTGGTTGAGTTACTATTTATATTAGCAAACTTCTTTAACAATAACTGTTTTGGTGTAAACTGGAGGAGTAATTTGTTTTAATTTTCATCAATTTTATTAACTTCACTACACATCAGAATTAGGGTAATGAATTTTTAACACAATATAAATTTTATTTTAACACCATGATTATTTTCCTGAATTAACCTGCCCATGGCATCAACATGAGAAGACTGCATTAGTAATTATTAATAATAACTTCAGAGTTAAAGTAAAGAATAGTGTACATTATTATGTTAATTACATTAAGTCTGCTATATCCAGTGCCGAAGAGGTCTTTGGCTCAATACCAGGGTTCTTCAGGCCTGCTTAAATGATGTAATCATTAGTACCCATATGTTACTCTATAACATTACTGACCATATCTTTCTCAGTGTTAAAAATAAGGTTTAGAGAGTATCCTGTTCAGTAAGTTCTTTGAAATGTTGAAGAAGGTAGCAATTACCACAGTTTCAAGAAATTTTTCAACCTTAAGATAAAGTAAAAATTTTCAGTAAATTTGTTCAAAACATCTTAAAGATGGAGTACTATCTTAGAAAAAATACCTGTCATCCTCTCAACAATGCATGTTCTATGTAAACAATAAGCCATGTTTTGTTTTGGCTGTTTCACAATGTGTAACAAAACATGTTACGTATAAATATGTTTAATTTGAGTGTATTTCTGTTGTAATTACATAATTAATTATAACTTTAGGAAAATGGATTGAGTAATGTTTTGTATGTTAGAGCAGATGAAATTACCCCTTTAAAAGCTTGTGTAAAGAACATTTTTTGTTATTTTGCTGAGGTTCTTCAATACCATTATATTCCATATAATTATGCATCTTTGTAACATAAGAACACAAAGTAAGAACAAGCAAATAGACAGAAGCACAATTGGCCTTTGTTTCAATGACCTTTGGGCAAGCTTTGAAACCTTCTCAAATAACAAACATCTTCATTTAGACAAGACTGTAATACAAATGAATTTTAACATGTTTGTCGTTTATTAGTTTGCAATGTACTTCATTGTTTTTTTAACCTGTGATGTGTACATTTAGTTTACTTTTGAATAGCAGTAACCAAAACCTTTAATTTTTTTATCAGTTTGTTATAAGTATTTGCATTTGTGTAGCTGAAACAAACAATGTTTCTTTCAGTTTCTCTAATAGGACAACTGTTTTAAGTTTCTTGTCTACTGAGAACCAAACAAATTATCACTAAAAACATCATAATTTTTCTCTTCTTGCTTCCTAATCTTGGTCAATTCCAGGCAAAGTCATTTAGCATTTTCTCAGACACTATTTTTCTTGTGAGCCCCATTAAAGGGACAAAACTTCACTTACCCAGAACCTGCCCCATAGATCTATTTTCTCTGTCCATACAGACATACTACTTTTGTTGCTTGTGTAGTTTCATAAGATTTAATTTATTGTTTAGTTGAATAAATACTGACAGGTCTTATCAGTCGTTAGTTTAAGTATCTTTATTTCTAATGTGCTTGTAATTAAAGAAACTACCAGTAATTTAATATTTTGTTTCTTTTCAAGGCTATTTTTGACTCTCTACCCTTTGTGGATGTGGAAACTGACATTACAAAGAATGCTGAAAATGTAAGTACATTTTGGGTGCCGTGATTCAAAGAAAATACCAAACGCTGAACTTTGAACTTTTTTTTCATAGTTTATATGTGGATATTTTTCAGAAATATGTCAAAGCTGAGGTTTAGTAGGTTTATAGCTAACATCCAATATTCAGATCGATCCTAGTGATTTTTGACTAGGAAAATGGTTTTAGGAGTAGCATGTAATATTGTTTTAATGTAAAATTCTTTAATTAATTTTTATATTATGTTTTGTCATTTTAGCTGTTAGAATACAATATTTGAATGACTTGATATTAATGAAGTCTCAATTTTTCCATAACATGAGAATAGTAAGACTCTGATTGAGGTTACTGGTAAGAAATAAAAAAAAAAATTGGAGAAACTTATGCTATATAGGAACTGCTAAGCATGCATTAGGTGAATCAGAATAGGGCATAACTTCAAGTAAATAATGTAAACCTGGAAGAAAAGTCCTTTTGGAGATATTGTTATTTTAGTGTTGTACAACTGCAGAAAATGGTCCAACTCGCATGTACTTCAGTGTAAGTTGGTTAAATAGCTGGAATGGGATTAGGCCTAGATAGCTGACTTGGAATAGATAACCTGATTTTATATAAACATTTTGAAAAATGGTTTCAGGAGGTGCTTGTTTTGGATACAAGATCTTTCAGGAAAGTGATTCTGGTATAATCTAGGTGTTTTTTTGTTGTTGTTGCATCCAAAGAAATTGCAAAATACTATTTTCAAGTAAGTGTGCAAGTCACTTGTCAATTCCTGAATAATTAATGGAGTTGCAAGTTTTTTAGGTGATATTTTAATAGTAATTCCAGTGCTCTAAATTCTTTTTAAAAACTTTGGTAGGGGCAGTTTACACTCAAATGCTAAACTGGTTTTATTAATAGAAAACATATATTTACAACACTATTTTATTAGGGTCATACCTAATGTAATTTTTTAAGATTAAGACTATGAAATACAAAACAATTTAACGTATTTGAGAAAACTGTACTCTCATGTACATATTGAGTGGAGCCTTGGCATGGCCTGGTGATTAGGGTGTTGGACCCACAATCTGCAAGTCATGCATTTGAATCTCCGTCGCTGAACATGCTCACCATTTCAGTCGTGGGGGCATTATACTGTGATGGTCAATCCCACTATTAATTGGTAAAAATTAGCCCAAATATTGGCAGTAAGTGGTGCTGACTAGCTTCCCTTTACTCTTTCACTTCTAAGTTAGTAACAGTCGTAAGGGGAATCAGGACTCAAACAAAATGTACATATAGTATGTAATTTAAACAGAATCATGAACTTCCATTGTCTGTCTGGTATATGTCCGAAATTTAGATGTCAGTTGTTAACAATTTTTAGCTAGGGTCCAGAGTTATCAATGACCTATTAAAAATAATGTTCAAATCAGATTAATACTTTATAAACTATGTCTTCTGTAGCAATTAAGAAATATTCGTCAATTTGAAAGAGGAACATCTTGAACAATGTAACTCGAAACAGGGCCCAATTATTTTGCTCGGTACAACACCGTAAATTAATCCGTGTTTTAATATTTCTAAAGATACAAATGTTCCTGCTAATATTTATGGATATTCGAGTAAAATATGTAGCTCCTGTTTATTGCTGTACTCCTTAGCCCTCAAGTTCGTAACATGTTTTTATTATACTCGTTACCGGTATGGGTCCACGTGTCTCGTCATGTTAATAATTGTATGTTTTTGTCGGTTGGAATACTCATTGTAAAGAACTCATAAAAACAAATTGATGAAATCATTTATTTTCTGTGTATAGATTGACATATTATGTGAGACCCCAGAGTAATTTGTGTAATTAATTGTAATATTGATGATGTTTTTGTTTAATTTTGTGAGTGTGATTCATATGTTATTAGAGATCCTGAGAACAAAGTCATGGATCCGCAAGCAACTTTGTGCATAAAGTTCAGAAAAATGTGCCTTACAAAAGACAATCTCATCGATAATTCTTGAATTAAGATGCATTGTAAATGATTCCGTTGGCTTGATGAAATAAAAAAATTAAACTATTTAAAGTTAGCTTCAATATATTAGCATGGAATTTTAAAAGGGGAGAGGTACATAAACATCACGTGAGTCCGTACATATCTTCCCATTTCTTTTTTTTGGGGAAGCTCATCTATGGCTATTTCATTCGCACACTGTTGTAGTGGTAACAATGTGTTTAAAAACCTCGTATTCCGAGGGTTTTAAGAGATAAAAGTGCCGAAACAGAATCATCATTATTTCCTGCTGAAGGATTCTGGTGAACAAGTTTCTTTACATCAGTTACTTAAATCTTGTATTAAATCAGAATATAATTTTAAATAATCGACAAATAATATCTTAGAAACAACGTGTACATGTTCATTTTTTTTTAGTTTTTGTTGTATTCAGAGTATGATACAGTTTTTTTCTTTGTCTTTCAAGTTGCTTAAGTTCGGACTCTAGTTTGACGTTTAATACATGCGCAGAACATTAAGGCCAAAAAAGAAATGTCTTTAAGAAAATAAATAGCCCGTTACCGAACCGGTGTCTTTGTGGACATCTGGTTAGCAAGCAAGTACACATGCTGCTTACTACACAAAACACAGACTATCTTTTTTGCACGTGAGCATCAAACAACCCCAACTTTTCATAAAAGTCTCAGCTTCTAGTTTTATTGCTGGCGTGCCAAAGCGTCAATTTTTTTTTGGGGGGGGATAAAACTGTTTATAGAAATGTCTCGTGGATAAACAGTACAGTATGTCTTGAGGAAATTGCTTGCATAAAATTATCGTAATCAAACCTTGTGTAAGTTGTGGGAAAACTGAATGATACATAGTATAAATCATGCTTTTTAAGTCAAACTATTTATAATTAATTAGGACTGTGGAACAGTGAACGTGTACTTTAATACTCGGTTATGATTTCGTGGTATAGCTTAACATGTCCTATTGGTTAGTGCATTCGATTCGCAATGTGTGGATCGCAGGTTCGAATCCAACACCGATCACGTTCGCCCTATCAGCGGTTGGGGCGTGAAAATGTCACGATCAATCCTGCTATTCGATTAGAGTAGCCCAAGAGTCGGTGGCTGCCTTCCTTAGTCTATTACTACTAGATTAGGGACGTCGGGCGCAGATAGCCTTTGCGAACTACGCGAAATTAAACAAACAAACAGTAGCCTGCCATTTCCCGAACTTATTTTATCGTGTAGATATTTGAGTTTTTTTTAATATAACCGAGGCTTCTCATGTGTGTGTATTTAACTTTTTATGCAAAATTCAGTACTCGCATGACTTTTTCCTTTAACGTTTCCATTCCATGATGAATTGTTCTATGCTAAAAAGTATAGTATTGTGAAAATACAACAGTTATAATCAAACCGAAAGTTAAAAGGGTATTTTTTTTTAATTCTGGATTCCTCAGTTCTGTGTAGTAAGGGGTATGTAGTGCATATGCACATGTACAATGGTTTTGTTTCGCATCTTCAGCACATATAGAAATATTAACATATGACGGGAAACGTGAAATTAGCTTTGACTGGGATCTAATGCGGCGGCGCAAGTGTTGTGGTCAGGAGCATCATTTCACAAAAGGCTTGTTATTGTGGGAAATCATGCACAAAAATTTACCCTACTAGGTCGAAGTAGTTTTCAAAACTATTTTAAACTAGGTATAGTATCATACAAATGTTTACTTTATGTATAGTTTTTAAGTGAAGTTTTTTAGTTTTTAAGTGAGGATAAGAGACGCGTCATTCCTACCTTGACTAAACTGCTCCGGAAGGACCTTCCGAAAATCCATGCTTGTGAGAGATAATGGAAATATAATCCCCCCTAGATACGTATAAAATTTAGTACCGTTGTGCTTACGTTCCTCTTCAGAGATAGTAAGCATGCCTTTTAAAACATATACATTAAAGACAATAAATTTTCTCCACGGAAAAAAATTTTGACTTAAGATTGATACACTTAGCTTCGCGGGTGTCAACGCCAGTTGCTCCCCTCGAGGGGAACTGGCGGGTACGCATTACTTGGCTATTCATATTAGAAGATATTTACTTACCTGTTTGGAAATTTTCTTGTTTTGCTATTGATAGATAGAAAGGAAAAAAAAACGTAAAGATAAAAACGTATCACATTAACACAGACGGAGTGGTTGATTGTTATCTGTGGGTAAAATCACTGCTTTCTTTTGGTCTAAGTCCAATGAAAGTCACAAAAGGCTTGAGGGGGGGGGGCAAAGAAAGGCTGACCTCGCGTGCTCACCCCCTTCCCCAATTTGAAGGTTCTACGATATGGTCTAACATGAGCATATGTGTTAATCCGATCTGACTAGAAGGGTTTCGTAGAAACTGCCTTTTACAGCCCTCTCCTGAACAAGGAGGCTATCGTTCTGTCGTTTCCCAAAATGACCCCCCCCCCGGGGTAATATTTAGTGGCATTCATTTATTTTATGTGTTGTAAATAGGATCCAGTAAGTTACTATAGTCAACGAACCAGTGATAAAATGCACAAGGTGTACTAATAATTCAACGCACCACCTAAAAACTTAAATATATGTTAATAGCTACTCATTCTAAACGTTCAAATTGACCGTCATAATCAGTATTTTTTATTTATTTATTTAAATTTTTTGCTACTGTGACAGTAGTACCGTCAGTCTTGGATTCATGTTGGCAAAACAACACATTTATTAAAAATATATTTGAAACAATGTTTATGCATAGTTGTCATTAAGCCTTTCAAAGACAATTACCTTGCTTTGAAATATCAACCTGTGCAAAAGTGGTTTTATCAAGAGTTTTTCCGAAAATATTTATTCATTTTTTAAAATTTGAAAGGCAAACGTAAAGGTGTACATCGAAGACTGTTTTGATACATTAAATGAAGCAAGAAATATATAACAATATTATGTTTAAATGTTATATATGCTTTTCATTTCTCAAGAAAAAAGTTTTTAAAGAAGTGAGATACAATATTTCTCCTTTTTATTA